GCATTAAACTTCATTTAATGCGTTCCTATGGCTCCCAAACTCCCCGTTCAGCGAAGTTCCTCCATAGCGCCGCCATTTTCGCGCCCTTGGTAAGCGAGGGCAGGGCGTGAAAACACTTGCAGCGGCCATTTTGGGCACCTGGCGGCCATTTTGGAACCGCCGATCAGCTGTTTAAAAAACCATCGCAATGCGATGTTTTGCCTATTCAGAACATAGCAATGTGATCGCATTAGCGATCTAAAAAAATAGATCGCTATGCGGATTCGTTGTTAAATGGTGCGCTCGTTATGTGAGGCACCACTGTATACTCCCTAAAAGAGGAGCAGTTTCTTGCTTTTGTTTGGTTTTCCCCATAAAAAAAACCTTCCCTTACACTAGGAACTACTCTGTTTCCCCAAAAATAAGACCTAACCTGAAAAGAAGCCCTAGTATGATTTTTCAGGATGTTCATAAAAAAGAACAATCATTACATATTAGCTTAATAATAAGCATTAGACCCTTTGCTTTTGAACACTCTAAATAATCCAGTGGACAATAGATATTTCATTTCCAAGCCGGCTTCTATTTCATTTGTGTCCTTAAACACAGCAATCAAAAGAGTCTAAACCAGATTACACCGTGAGGGAGAGGGGCCTAACATGGGAAATTTAAACGCACCACTGAGTGTCTTCTGTAATGTCTCTCTTTCTCTTGACCAAAGCTTATTTTTCATAGCAAAGGGAGGCCTGAATGTTGACAACACCATGTTGACAACTGTTGGTGAACAGGAGATATTTGTTCAATGGCCACTCATGAGTGAGACAGTGGGGCTGCCCCCCCAAAAATTGGGGATGGGGCACCCCTGTCCCATGCCACCTACAACTTCATCAAACAGAATCCAACTTGGAGAAATATAATTAAAAACACCACATCATCATTTCTGGCGACCATAAAAGTCTACATACATTTGATACAGAGGAGTATATTTGACTATTGATCTAGCAAAAGTGTTACTGATCTCTGGAATTTGGAATATTAGCTTTCTAATCTTACAAAAATGCCCATGCTTTTGCTTTGTTTTTCAGTGGGTTGACACTTCAAATCGATTTCTCTTCAGAAGAAGGAAGTTCATTTGACTTCCGGACAAACATACATATGAGGGTCAAGCCACATATGAGTCCATTGTATTTACAATGAGCCAATAAATGTTGAATATCTTCCGGTCCCACTTTCATTGAGTCTCTTGAAATCTCAGCAACATTTTCTCTGCATTCACGCCACTATGATTTTGCAGTCTATCCAAAAGAATAGTAAAGAAAATATATTAAACTGACAAGCTAAAGAAAGAGAATTATGTTTGAGGTTTACAGATTCTGTAGAAAAATAAAATTGCCTCATTTCCCTTCCCAGGCCTGGAATAAAGCACGAGACAGCAATATGGGTTAAATACGGGCCACACTTTATTAAATATACATTCAGATTCAAAAATTTTATTCTCTTTCAGAAGGAGGGGGCCTGCTGTAGTGCGGAAAGAGTTAAATGACGTACCTAAATACCCCTTGATCAATAACGGGGCGGGTGCCCGGCCCCCAGGCTCCAGTGATCTTACGGACAGCAGGAAACTGACCGACCGCTAATAAAACACCACAAGACCTCGACCCCATTTCTTCGAGGGGTGTTAGTCTGGAAGTGGCCCCGCGCATCTTCCCACCACAGGCACTGTAATTACACAATCCGCAGTCCCAGGCGGTCGGATGTACTATTGGCTTACTTGAAATTACTGCGGGACCCACCGTAAATACCTGTTTTTTCTGCACTACCCGCCAGTGTGACAAAAGCTTATTCCACCAAGTTGCCACAACCCTCTTCCAGTGTGGGATAGGCAAAAACTCCCCTATCCAAAGGCCAATCAGGATGATGGTCAAAATTCCTATCTGGCCCCTAACAGGCGACGAGAAGAACTCACACTAGAAATAGGGAGGGCGAGTGGGTGCCCGAAAAGAAGAGGGTGTTCCAGAGTGGAAAGCCTCCTTAAATACCCTGACTTTCCCCTCCCACTTCAGAGTCCCGTGAGACAAATCTGTCTCGCGATATCCCCGGTGGATGGCAAAGGCCAGCTTCGCTGTTCTAGTTCCGGGGACCATCCTGTCATTTGAATGTGTGGAAACCATCTTACCACCTTCCGTTAAGCAGATACGGTTTAACCCTAGAAAGAAATAATGAAGGTGCCCCCAAACCTCACAAACCATGACTGCAAATTCAAGTCATTTTAACATTCTTCCTACCTTCCTACTTTTGACAACACTTGGCCTGCATTTCCTCTCTTTGACCAACAACAATTTGTGGGGAAAATATGTACGTGTACAGAAATGAAAAGAATCTTCAAGACTACACAGGAGAATTGCCTTTACAACACAGCACAAAAATTTGTATACTTTGCACTTATCAAGAACAAGAGAAGTTTCTTAGGGCCACCAATTAGAATGGGGAGCTTAAAAACTATCAGTCCTAAGACATATACACCTTATTCACTAATTACACAAGATATTTAAAATGCTTGCCTATTATACAAAGTTAAAATCGTAGAACCATTGAGTTGCAAGGGGCCTATAAGGCCATCGATTCCAACCCCCCTTTTAATGCAGGAATACAAATCAAATTGGTGGTTCAAATTTCTCTTGAATGCCTCCAGCCCTTTCTTACCGTATGCCAGGAAGCATATGTGGCAAGAAAGCAGGTGTTTTGATTAGTTTAACAGTAACCTGTTCATTTTCCAGTTTGCTTATCTAGGTATTTCCGGGAGGTTTATGGGGCTTTGGGGTTTACAATGTTGCTCGTCATGTAGCAGAGCAAAGAGAACAATTTGCCAATACTATTTGCCAATAGTATTGGCAAATAGTATTAGAGCAATTCTAGGCAGAAATAACAAATCTTGTCTATCAGTACTAGAGGTCATAAACATGGACTAGGGAAATGCTAAGATGCATGCAGATATAGTCTGATAAAAGAGATACTCTTTACACATGCTGAGAATTCCTAATGACTTGAAAATCCAGTGGCATTGGCATCTCTTTCCAGCTATGATAAGGGATCTTGTAGGAAGGCACATGAATGTCTTTAAATTGAGATATTGGATGTTTTCTCTCTGTAATATGTCTTCGGTTCATCCCCATCCTTCACTTTCCTCAACCCAGGACCTCCAAATATATTGCATTACAAATCCCGTTACACAAGCCAGCAGCTCTGAGTAGCCGAGGGTGATGAAGGATGTAGTCTAACGTGCCTGGAGGGGTCTGGATGGACATTTGGACATTTAAACCACAAGAAGAGTTGTGTCATCTTGTGTCATGCTTGGGGGTTTTCTGTTCTGAAATTTTCCCCATTCCACGCACCATGTTTCCCGTAACTGTTTATTCTTTGTGTATATGTGTGTGAGAGTGTAAAAGAGGGGGTGTGCTTCTTCTCCTCTCTTCTATTCCTCCCACATCCTTGAATAAGTATTTAAACACCAAGGTGAATTGCTCAGGATAGAAAGCAGCTAAGAAAGATCTCTACCTTTACCTGAAGTTTGAATTGATCTCCTTTTCAAGTTGGATCGGGGTAAGTTGTGGAAAATACAGATTTTTTATTCTCTCTCTCTTGGCTCTGGAACTTAGTTGCTTCTAGATTTATTTACAGTACAAGAAATCTAGATAAAAGACAATACTGAACTTCTTTTCAAACTCTTTGTAAAAGCATTGTAATGAATTAGAACTATCCTTGTAACCTGTATGGTGTAGTGGATAGAGTAATGGACTAGGATTCAGGATACGTCAGTTTGATTCCTTCGCTCTGTCATGGAATCTCACTGGCGGTGGGGTTGGAAGCAGTAAAACCACCCCTTTAAGACCTTTCTTGCTTTGGAAACTCTATTAGGGTCACTATAAATCAGTATTGACTTGACGGCATATAACAGCAACAGAACTGCCCTTATTAACAAATACTTTTGTTAATAAGGATGCCGGCCACAGAGACTGGCGAAACGTTAGGAAGAACAACCTTCAGAACATGGCCAAAGAGCCTGAAAAACCCACAACAACCATTAGATCCTGGCCGTGAAAGCCTTCGCCAATACATTAAATAGTTTTGTTCCTCTTATAAATCGCAAAGGTATGCAGCCATCAATAATGATATCCTTATTAACTGAATCCATATTTAGCCATCAAGAGAAGCCGAATAGAACTAGTTTGTTTGTCCCCATCTTTCCTCTTTGTGTGCGGACTCATCTGAAGACGGGTGATGCATGGTGTCTCGCCGCCTGAGGCAGGGGGACACAGGCTGTTTGATTAAAATAAAAATTTAACAAAGACAATAACCTTGTGGCATCTTAAAGTCTAACTATTATATGTCTGAATATATCTGAAGAAGTGGACTTGATCCATGAAGCTCACATTAAATACAATGGCTAGTCTTTAAGGTGCCACAAGCTTTTTGTCTTCTTTATATTTATTTTTATTTTCTCCCTTGGGATTTTGCCCGATATGCTTGCACATACAGTATTAACATGGCTAACACTTCTAAGGCTGTCTCCTCCTACTGTTCAAATTCTTGTTCTCTCCATTATTAACTTCATCCCAAAGGCTTACTGTGTGTCGGGGGGAGTGAGGCTTTATGGGTTGAATGACTAAGTGCTGGGACTACAGAACCTAGAATCATAGAATAATTGATTTAGAGGGGACCTATAAGGCCATCAAGTCCAATCCCCAGCTCAATGCAAGAATCCAAATCAAAGCAGGTCTGACAGATAGTGGAGATGGTGGTCCAATTTTCTCTTGAATCACTCCAGCGTTGGAGCTCCCGCCAACTCCTGAGGTAACTGATATTTGCCACAAATTTGAAGTTGTGGATTTGAAATAGCAAGTTGGTTTTCACTTCAGTCCATTTTGAGAGAAGTAACTTTTTCCGGTGGTAAATGGTAGCTTTTATACATTCTCTCTCTTTTTTCCCTTCCAGGTGCCATTTTTAGCCCAACAGACTTGACAATGGCTTTCAAAGGATCCGGCCCTGTTTTCTTTCTGCTCCTAGCCATTCTGTTCATCCTGGAAGCCTATGCTGCCGACTACAAGACGTTCCTACGGCAGCACTACGATAATCCCAAAAGCAATGTTGGCAAGCGTTATTGTAACACCATGATGCAGAGACGCGGGATGACCAAACCTCAGTGCAAGGCAGTGAATTCCTTTGTCCACGCCTCCAAGAAACAAATCACAGGCGTGTGTGGTGCTGGAGGGCAACCTCATGGCAATAACTTGCGTCGTAGTCGTAAGCAATTCTCGGTCACAACCTGCAAACACACAGGGGGTTCAACACGTCCACCTTGTAACTACAGAGAGAACAAGTCACAGAGGTTCATCGTCATTGCTTGTAGAGGCGGGAAGCCTGTTCATTATGATGAAGGCCAGATCTGAAGAACGGCGCCATTTTCCTTGTTGCTCGTGAAGATGTCTTTCTAATAATGCCCTTCTATTTTCCCCTATTCTTTTTGAATTACTGGTATATTTTCTCTATATTTCTATACTTTCCTTGTGTTCATTTTTCTATTTCAGGCTTTAAGAGCCCAACAAACTATCAGCATAATCACACCTACATGCATGTCCATGTCGAGCAAACAATAAACATGTTGAAGAAAAGTTAAGTTGTGTGACCTTTCCTTTCTGGTTCTTAAGCATGGCAACAAATAGAGTATGGGCTAGATTACATGCCACGCTGTGAAAAAGAGGGTCCTGATGGGGCAAAATGAAATCCATCACTGATGGTCCTGCATAATGGTTTCTCTTTCTCTTCACCCAAGCTTATTTTTGGTGCTGCAAATTCTTGTACTGTGGTATGGGTCCAACTAAAACGAAAATTGGGCTGGGTGGACAATTAGGAACTCTTTTCTTTTGGTGAAAGATGAGGTGGGAAGTAAACTTTCCCCTAAATGGACAGGGAAATTCCTGTTTTTGAGGGTGGATTAAACCGCAGAAGCCTCTGTGCTGCAAGGTCAGAAGACCAATAGTCGTAAGATCAAATCCACGCAATAGAGTGAGCTCCCGTCGCTTGTCCCAGCTCCTGCCAACCTAGCAGTTCGAAAGCATGCAAATGCAAGTAGATAAATAGGTACCACCTCGGTGGGAAGGTAAAAGCATTCCATGTCTAGTCGCGCTGGCCACGTGACCACGGAAACTGTCTATGGACAAATGCTGGCTCTCCGGCTTGGAAACAGAGATAAGCACCACGCCCTAGAGGCAGACACGACTGGACTAAATGTCAAGGGGAACCTTTACCTTTATCTATTTTTCAAAACATAAAATAGGTGGACACAGGAGAGTGTTGTTGTGTACTGAGACTCGGGCATTGTTCCTCATTCCTTCTCCTCTTTGCACAGGCTAATCTCACATGACTCAATGAACAAGGCAGGAAGCACCAGTATTCAGATTATTAGTTACTGCACAGGCCAGCTAGTCATTGGAAGATCTGCTCATTTTGCTTTCTGCTGCCTTTGGGTTGTTTTTTAAAAAAATCTAAATCAATTTCTCTCCCAAATGTGAAAGCCCAGCAGTTGTGTAACTGTCTATCTCTGGCATTCTTTTGCATAATCACTTGCACAACCCATCTTTTAACCAGCACAAGAACTGATATGTACCCTGTTTCCCTGAAAATAAGACTGGGTCTTATATTATTTTTTGCTCCAAAAAACGCATTAGGGCTTATTTTCAGGGGATGATTTTTTGTGTTTGTGTGTACAATCTACGTTTATTCAAATACAGTCATGTCATCTTCTTCTGGTTGCTGCACAAGGGTAGAGGGCAGGCTTTCACTTAACTAGGGCTTATTTTTGGGGTAGGGCTTATATGACGAGCATCTTGAAAAATCATACTAGGGCTTATTTTCAGGTTAGGTCTTATTTTCGGGGAAACAGGATACCAAGGAGGCTGGTGGTAAGGCAGAAACACTTACAGGGTTGCCTTTCTGCTTCTCATGCAGGCAGCAGAACTCTGGCAAAAGAAATTTGTGAATGTTTGTACTTTTCCCCAAAACGAACTGAAACATAATTCTCAAAAGAGGGTGCTGAACAAGTTCAACACGGACAGCACATCTAAGCATGAATAAGACCACATTGAATCTGCCTGGAATATAAATAATTATAAAAGGAATTTATAGGGATTAAAAAAGGAATGACAGCTTGAATTCAGTATTAACGTAGCTGAATATACAGGGCTTCAAACTCAGTCTTTTCAGAAGGAAGCATTCAAACACCAGCCAAAGTTTTGGCCTGGAATGATTTATTTGTTGATTTGGTTTCTTCTCCCTACAATTGGGGGGGGGGAACCCCTCCTTAAGTACTTTCTGTCCCAGACAGAATACACTTTAAATCAACACTCAATGTTGATAAGATGCTGATATAAGATGAAGACTCTGTGCATGTTTATGTGATACACCACATGTTCAATCCCTGTATCTTTACATCTTCCCTCGAAATCAGTTGTAGAAACAAAACTTGGAAAGAGTCTTCTCAGATTGTGAGAGTACAGAATATGTTGTGTGCTTGAGCCAGAGCTGTCTTAAGAAAGTACACAATTTGATGCTTAAGAACAGAAGATTTATTTTAGCAAAAAGTGGCTGGTGGGGAGGACTTCATGCTAGAGGGAGAGGAAAGTATCCAGACTGAGTAATCAACTGCTTTCTGATTAAGTACAAGCTTTCCAACTTAAATGCTTCAGAAATAGAGTTAGAGATTTGGCCAAGTGTGGGGTTCATGCAAGGGGACCTTTCAAATACACAGATGTTATCAGCTTTGTCATAGCGGCTGACTGAATTAGGAGGACAATTCTTTTACATCCATCCAGTTTAACCCGAGAGGCAGGTGTGGTTTCAAAAGCCAATCATCTCTGCTCTAACCTTGGTCTACATTCCTGCCAAAGGACTTAGAAATCGACAGCCTCATTCTATTCTGTCTTGACTGGTATGTATCTACGGAAGCCATTAAATTCAACTGGAAATCCTTTCTTACACCGAACTTCAAATATTCCAGTGAGGTATTCACCAGTGAAGGCCAAATCGCGGTTTGTATCATAACAGTTAGTAACTGGGAGGGGGGTTGTATTTTTACGGTATCCAGAGACTGGTTCGCCATCGACCGTGCAAATGGCTTTCAGCTGGTCTTCCGAGGCATGAACGATGTAGTTGTGAACAACCCGGTAGCCGAAGCATCTCTTGCTCATAATCAGTCTGCAATAGACATCATCATTCCGGGCCTGTGTTCTCGGAAAGTCGACATTCTCTATGAGGAAGGTTTCATAATCGGCAGCTGCTTCAACCCTTGCCATCATCCACGTGAATGCAAGGATGAGGCATATTGGGTAAGGGCTCTTTGAAGCCATGGTTTGATGTGGCTATTGCTGTAGAAAAAGGGGAAAAAATCAACAACAATGAGGTTCTTTATTTGCCCCAGTGGGCAAAAGGCCCTGAGTAATTATTGATACAATATTGAACTGCATCTTCTTTGTCATATGTCTCCCAATAAACTTAGAACAAACTAATCATACTGTTTTGCCTTCACAAGAGTCTCAACTGATAGTGTGTTCAGTTCCTGACTAAATCTCAGGAGAAAGTCACCAGCAGGTCATTGTTTATTGAAATATGAAGATGGCCATTTAATCACTCAACCCAAACCCAGCAGCCCTGGCTGTATAGTTAGCTATGTGTCGGAACCAACTTATTGTGACTCTAATAAGGCTTTCAATGTAAAATGAGATTCTTTACTACTGTTCACACTTGTCACGAAAAACCCGGACAATTGCTTTTTGTCTGGCTGGGCAGTGGTTAACTGATAAAAAAAAGAGCTTCTGGGATTTCCCCTTGCTTGATGTCACTTTGTGAACCATAGTGAGCACAAGAGGGTGTCCTGTAGACCATCTTGACTGCTGCCATTCATGCTGTCAACATTCAGGTAAAACCCAGCATCTTTTCCCCTGCTGGCAATGCAGGCATGGTATTGTGCAGCAGTACTGGGCCATTCTTCAGCATCTTGAATCAATGCTACAGATGCACAATATCCCACATTCATAAACTGGATGAGTTTTTTTTTGAAGAATTGTGTATAAATACATAGATACATATAGATATGGGAGCACATGAGACAAATAGAGACTTGTCTCCTTATACCCCTCCTCTGCAACTGGCATGTTGAGGTACCTTCCTTTGAAGCCTGGAGATTATACATCTCCATCACGGCTTGTCACCTGAGATGAACGTTTCCTCCAGAAACCTGTCCAATCCGCTTTTAAAGGCATCCTGTCCAGATGCCATGACCACATCCTGTGGCAAGGAGTTCCACAGACTCACAACAAAAGGAATATTTTCTGGCAAGGAGTTCCACAGACTAACAACAAAAGGAATATTTTCCATTTGTCTGTTCTCACTTTCCCCACACTCAGTTGGAGTGGATGTATTTTGTCTGTTCTCACTCTCCCCACACTCAGTTGGAGTGGATGTGCCTAGGTTCTGGTGTTGCGTGAGAGGGAAAAGAGATTCCCTCTATCCACTTTATCCACAATCTGCATAGTTTTATACACCTCTATCCACTTTATCCACCCTCTGCATAGTTTTATACGTCTCAGTCATCCCCCCCCCGGCACCTTTTCTTCCCCCCTCAGGCACCTTTTCTCTAAAGAGGTCCAAATGCTGTCGCCTTTCCTTATAAGGGAGGTTCCCCAGCCCAGTCATCATTTGAGTCACTCTCTTCTGCACCTTTTCTAGTTCCACAATGTCTTTTTTGAGGTGCAGTGACCAGAACTGTATGCAATACTCCAGGTGCAGCCTTACCATCACTTTTTGCAATGGTTTTTTGAGGTGCAGTGACCAGAACTGTATGCAATACTCCAGGTGCGGCCTTACCATCACTTTCTGCAATGGCATTATAATGTTGGCTGTTTATTCAACATGCGGCAAATAACAATGCATGGACCTCTTCTGCCTCTCTGCCTTGACATGGCAGTACGACAATGGAAACAATTACCTCTCAATCGACCTACAGACTAGAAAAAAACCAAAATGGAACAAAAACGGAACAATAACGGCCGTTTATGGATTAATCAGTTTTCAATGCATTGTAGGTCAATGGAGACTCGACCTACAGACTTTTCGACCTGCAGCCACCGTTCCAGTACAGATTAATTCCGTAAGTAGAGGGTCCACTGTAATCTTGGCTGTTCATTCAACATGAGGCGAATAACACCACATGGAACTCTTCTGCCTCTCTGCCTTGACATGGTCTCACAAATCCAGCTTTCCTCCATTCATTTCTCAGAACATCATGTTAACCTTCCAGGAGACTTCCTAACTGCCAGAGCATTACGACAATGGAAATAATTACCTCTCGAGGAGGTGAGTGCTCTAACACTGGAGGCCTTCAGGAGAAACTTAGACAA